ATCCCGGATGCAAGAAGCGCTACTAAATTTTTATTGCATTTAAATCATGTTGTTGGAAGAAAGTATTTTGCAGAAGAAACACTGGTGAATATGGTAAGAAAGATCACAAAGATTAAGATTAAATTTGTAAATCAAATTTACAATTCAAGAATAATTTGTAAATCGCTCGAAAATTGTAGTGTACATAAAAGCGCATTCCCCGAAAACGTGAATTTCAAATGATAACGATTAAGAATGTGATTCAGAAATCCTTGGGTGAGTGAGAAAGTCTAACACTAACGAAACAACAGACCTTGACACTAAAAGGACAGTGTTGTGGGAATCGGATGTTCTAATCGACAATGAAATCTACAGGCCGATGAGAGGAAAGCTCCCTAACGTACCCACACCGTAGGGAGCGATTCCGAGAACCGTTCTCTTGCCTCTTGCCTTTCAGGAATTGCTAGGCTGAACCTGCCAAATTCCTGGTCGCATTTCCTCCTTCTCGTGTGAAAGGAATATGCTCCCTCTGGTACAGTCCACTTTTCCAAGAATTAATCAATCTCGTATGTGGGAAGGGTCTTGGCGCGCTTTGAAAAAAAATAACGCCATAGAAGAAGCGGAATTTGTCATCATGCCTTCGTATTTCGTTGATGCATGGGAATGATACACGAATCAGAAATCAGCATAGTATTCAAACTTGATTTCATAGCTTTGTCGTTTTATTTTGAGAAATTCCTCCTCAAAATGAGTTTCTTCTTTTCAGGATGAATTAGTTAGATTCATTCTCAGTTAGATCTTAGATTCTCATTGAAAGCATATCTTGCATTGTTACTTTGAAATATGCAATTATTTCCCACTCTTACACGTAAACAGTCTGCAATCAAAGAAAAAATAGTTTGGCCTCTGGAGTAATTGGAAAGACATATTCTTTTACAGGTGTCTTAATTACAATAATTATATTCCATGAAGAGAACCAACATTAACTCACCCTTCTATTTGACACTAATTGGATGATTAAGTAAGGGAATCGAATTTGTTTTCCCTATGTGGAAATAATTCCGAACGGGAAAAAAAAAACTAAATCTTAGAGAATGAATAATAAGACGGCTCGAAATTTGTCATTCCGCACTGATGAGAGCCAGAATGTGACTAGGAACTCGCCTGGAGGAATCTTATATATCCGACGGGTACGGAGAGGAAGCTTGCCTGGAGGCCACTGGCTCAGTATCTAGCTTCATTTCCCCTTCTCGTTTCCACTAAGGGTGGGGGAAAGATTCCTTATCCAGGGGTCGGTGGTTTCCGTTTCCATTTGACGCAATGGTTTCGGCTGATACCCTTGCTGGATGTCCTTCCTCAAAAGGAAACGTCGCGATTTTTTTTTTAGTTCTGAAGGGATTTCTCGTTTTTCTTCTGGTGACTTATGAAGCGATTCGATGACAAAAAAATATTCTTTTTTTTTTATCGCCGAAAATGTAGAAAATACTCTTATTAAACTCGTAAGGTTTAATACGAGTTTCACTCGTGTTAAACCTCTTGAAACCTCATGAACCTTGCACCCTAAAGTGCAAGGTTCTTTACGTCGGTTGTAAAAATGATAGATCTTTGAACGAGTACGGCTTCGCTGAACCGGAGGAAGCAAGCGGAGAGAAGGATTTAGGAATTACTATAGATGGAAAACTCAAGTTCTCCGCACACGCGCAAGCCACGGTAGCTATATGTAACCGGATTCTAGGCACAGTCGATTCAATTGCCAGAAAGAGCTCGCGCTTCGTTATATGCGGCGCTGGTAAAACCGCATTTGCAGTATTGCGTTCAGTTTTGGAGGCCCACGAATGAAGGTGAAATAACGGCGCTCGAGAGAGCCCAGAGGAGGGATACGAGAATAATCAAGGAGTTAAGGGGACTTCCATATGACGGGCGCCTAGAAGCGTTGGGAATGTACAGTACTTCCTCAAGAGAAGACTAATTCAGGGGGGCCTCAATCCGAGAATGTAAGATCATTAAGGGAATCGATAACGTATATCGTGGTAGGTTTCTCCTGTTAGATGCTAGCAGCAGAACGAGAGGGAAGCAATTTAAGCGCCAAACGACCCTCCCAAATCCTCTAGTCCCTCCCGCTACGACCCGATCCCCGCTCACTCCCGTCCCAACCCGGACTACGAGACCCTGGACGAAGACCACCGGAAGCAGGAAGAAGGCGTCATCTACGCCGAGATCGACGTCCCGACCCGCGAAACCGATCGCCAGCAGTCGCACGAGGAACGAGATAGGCAAGCCCATTCCAGTAGTGGGCCTCCTTTCGTTTAAGAACCCCGATAAAATCGCAGAAACTGCAACAAGCAAACACACACACTGGGGGAGATATTGTTTGTCGAGAATGAAGAAATTCGTGTCCGCAAATTCGGAGAGTCCACGAGTTAACAGATGACGGAGAGGCGTTGCATCTTCCATTGGATTTTTACCCTCATGGTATTACATTAACCGCAAACAAGACTTGCAGAAAGTCCCAAATCCTCGAAAAAAGAGAGGTGGTCGCAAGAAATGGGTTCAAAGATTGACCTTGATGTGATTACTTGACACATTTTACTTAGACATTCTAGAATTAGCAGAATTAGCAGTTAATCTCTCATCCAGCTAGTAGCACGGTATTCCCACTTTACGTGACGCATTTTCGACGACGGTGTCGAATCGGTACGACATTGAAATTGCTTTTAATTTGCGTCTGGCGGTGATGGGTCTTCCTGGGCGCAGTGTGCAGTGCGCATATTCTTCGCACCCGCTTCGATGAAAAAATGATTTGCATACGAGTGGGAATTGACGGATGGCTTAATGTTGTTATCGGGCGAGGGACAAGGAGAGAGCAATGTGAGACGCGAGGAGAGACGCAGCGCTTGGAGGCAGCGGAACCGGCAGCGACGGCGGTTATCGACCGGGACGGCCCCGTTCCGTCTGGTCGGCGTTCCCGGGGGATAACGGCAGCGACAGGTCCGTGTCGCGAAGGAGGTACACGTCGGCGTCGTCGCAGTCGTCGACGATCGCCGGACAGGAGTGGCTGGGGCCGGATGAGCTTCGACCGAATCGGGATGGAACGCTCGTTCGTTCCCTGGACGAAAACCAAGGATTTGGAGGATGGGAAGCGGATCGGCTCGTCGAGGTCTCACGTCGGGGAATTCGGGAAACCCCAAGGGCCGCAAGGGAATCATTCCGCGACCCATAACCGCGCCTACAGTTATTCGGGGTCGGATCCGTCGAACCCGTTTAAGAAGTTCGACTGGGAGGATCCGGGCAAGACGCAAACCCAAAGGTGAAAAATATTCCAAGACCCTAGCAAATATAGTAATAGCAATGCCAGACGTAAATCGGATGTACGATTCCTACTTGGGACCATGATTCAGGAAGCGTAGGAAAGGAACGCGGCATCATGATGCCGCGTTCTTTGCTTGTCTTCGATGCAGTTAATTGCGTTTTTCAACTTGTTGAAAAGCACAATATCAACTTTTGCCCGTTGGGTCAGCCTTCCTTGTTGTGTTTTCCAGGTACTCAGTATATTCAAGTATTTTTCATACGTACCTAAACAAAACCTCGTTTTTTATTATTTAAAAGCGGCTATATTCCACCAAATGCCCGGCTATATTTCCGCAACAATTGGGGTCACGTGGCCTTCTGGAACCAACGGGAGGTGAGGGTGAAGTTCGAGTCCAAGTTGGAGTTGGCGGTTGAAGAAAGGATAAACCTTTGAAAATCAGTTTTAATATTACAATTACTCAGAGCGCAGACTCTCGCATGCTCGTCGATCTGCTTGGAATTCCCCCCCCCCCCCCCTTACCTCCTTCGGCACGGTTGCCGGATCCGTCATCTTCTTACCGTCCTCCCATCCGTCTTCCTCACTCTTGCACTTTCCTGCCGTTTCGACACGAGATCGCATCTGCTGCGATAAAACTCTCAAAACGGGTTTTGCAAGAGGTGCATGCAAATGAAGGATATTCGCCTTTTTACGTTCGACGAGTGGGCGATTCGGAATCATTGGTCCCGCCCAATCCGTGAGACGCGTGCGACATCTCTAGGTAGTAGCGGCAAGCTTCCGCTTTTTAATTTTCGCGTAATGTCAGGAGTGTCCACGTCCAGTCGCCTCTCTGCAGACGTGCTCAACCGGCAAAGAAAGCAGACGAATTCGAAAAAAAAGATAGCTTCATTCATGTCCATGAGAAAATATAGGACAAAAGTGGAAGTGCCACCAAGGGAAGTATCGAAAGCTGTTTCAAAAGTTGTTTCAAAAGCTTTGCCATTCTGTCAGCCATGTTCTGTATCGCAAAAATCTGCATCTGTTTCCCCTTAAAATGAATCGGTAATTCCTAACACGGGTCTTCAGGCGAGGAGGAAATCCGAACGACAACCCAAGGTTCCAATGTGGAACGGTGACGAGCCGATGCGAGATTCCAGAGAGATAAAATCTTTCTACGCGAAGAGGTCGAGAAACGGCACGGGACTCATCTAGGCTCTTCGGATCCCGAAAAGGACAGAACCTATCGCCGTATCGGGGGTATTGCACGGGGTATTGCATTCGCAGCGCGACTCGGCCCCGTGCAATACCCCCGGGGCCGATCCGCGCTGCGTTCCCCTCGCTCACATCGCGTGGATCTGGGGGTGGGACTCTTGGTGGAGTCCGGGGCGAAGGGGAGGGGCGGGATGGGTCTCGAGTTGGTGTTCACCACTTTTTAGCGGGCGTCCTTTCCTGAAAGGAATGAGAACACTTTTGTTCCCGCTCTGTTCGTTCGTGTGTCACACTTTTGTTTGTCACATTTTATTGTCCAACGATAACAAAAAATATATTGACTTGATCGATGCGAAAATTGGCAAGCAAGTTGAGATAAACAAGATGAAGGCTAAGTTTGTTTCGTGGCAAATTCGCCCCAAAATTGTTATTTTCATCGCGAATTTTGGATTTGAAATTTGCTCGCGGAGAGGGGGAAATGGGAAGGCATGAGTTCTCGAGAGCCCTCGACAAAATGAGGGCCTTCTTAAACGAAAGGAGGCCCACTATTGGAATGGGCTCGTCCATCTCGTTCCTCGTGTGACTGATGGCGATCGGTTTCGCGGGTCGGGACGTCGATCTCGGCGTAGATGACATCCTCTTCCTGCTTTTGTTGGTCTTCGTCCAGGGTCTCGTAGTCCGGGTTGGGACGGGAGTGAGCGGGGATCGGGTCGTAGCGGGAGGGACTAGGGGATTTGGGTGGGTCGTTTGGCGCTTCCGATCCCTTCGTCTTGGTCTTCTTCGACTTGTTCACTTTGGCGTAGAGGGCGATGATGTCTGCAGGGACGTTCGTCGACACCATGACGTCGGGCATCGTGGTGCCCTTGGGGGTGTGGAGGGGCTTCAGGACCGGGAGGTTCTGGTATCGATGCTCCCGGTCCGACTGTCCCTTCCCCGGCACGTCGTAGATGGGAGAGGGATTGTCGTTGACGGAGGACGAGCCGTCCGAGATGGAAGAGTCCATCGAGTGGTAGATGGAGATCGGCTCCAGGGAGTCGTAGTCGCCTGTCGCTGCGGTCTGGCCCGCGCCGGCGGTCGAGGAGAGATGGCTGCGAGTCGGGGTGTAGACCTCGTCGGAGAGGTTGTCGCGGGCCTCGATGCCGGGGCAGCGTGGGATGGAGCGCAGCTTTGGCACGCTTTCCTTCTCGTTAACTCGCGACCGCCTGCAAAACAAGGGGAAGTTTGCATATCGTATGCAGAGAACAATCCACCCCTGCTCATTTTAGACTGGAAAAGCGAAAACGAGACTTTTCCAAACATACATCGGATTTTGAAAATCTCATTCCCCATAGGGAGCTTCAGAAACCTAACCCACGTGTCTCCATTATCTCCATAAACAATTCGTCATCGGTCGTCACATTCCTGGGCTCATTCCAGAAAACCCCCCCGCCCCCACGCTGGAAACGGAGCCAAGACATCACCTGCGCTTGAGAAAGAAATATCCCATGATGGCCACAACGAGACACAGCACGACGGTCGTGGCGATGATCCCCATAATGACGTCCACCTTCGGCGCCTCCTTCAGTCTCCCCGTCACTTCCCCCCCTCCTTCAACCGCCTCCCCTTCCCTCACCTCCTTCGCACTCTTGTGGTCGTTGTTCGTGCGGCGCACCTCTGTCCCCCGACTCCGTCCTCGGTCCTCCCTTGTCTCGCTCATGCAGTCCACCACGACCGACTCCCACTCCCCCGAGTCGATGCATAGGATCTTCACCTCCCTTCCGCCTTCAACGATCACGTGTCGGTCAGTCGAGTACTCGAGAAATTAATGCACTAGGACGAAGAGGCCGAAGTGAGAAACCAACCATCCGGCAGGATGAATCCAGGATCACATCGATAAACAGCAACGGCCTCCCATTCGGTGGATCCGTCGGGAAGGATCAATCTCGCATTCGCGAATGACGGTGGAGCCGGACACTGCACCTCTGGAATAAACAACACATGATATATGGTTTTAAAAAAAAAAGTACCATACACTTAAAATGAGACATCACTTATATCAAACTTAAAAATTGGGAAGCGAATGAAAATACGTACTCCTGCACTGCGGCACAGACCCGGACCAGACCCCAAGAGGACCGCAGGTCATCGTGGCATTTCCGAAGAGAAGAAACCCAGGGTTACACTCGTAGATGACCCGAAGCCCGAACACGTATCTGCCTTTGAAGTCGGGGTCGAGCAAGAACCCATTCTCGATCTTCACCGGCGCTTCGCACTCTTGCTCTGCAATATAGAAACCGAATCGAATAATATTCCAGTCCGATGAAACTCAATCACTCAGTGTCACACGGTCTGAATGACATGAATTTGTTTTTTCGTTTCTCGCATTTTCCGATCCACGTCTTCCCTCCCGCTTTCTCCATGAATTCAATACCATTCCGCATACCCAATGACCTATGGAGGCCTTGTCAACCGATCGAAATGCTTCAACGGTTAATTCACAAGAGAGCGAAAGGTGAATCGCATTAAAGATTCCATAGCCGGATGCCTTTCTTCCCCCCACCCCACGCCCCACCAAGCCCCACCAACCCCCCTCAATAAGCGATTTGGCAGACCGAAACACGTCGGAGGCGAGGATGACCACTGTCCGTCAGCCAGGCAGTTCCGCACCGTCTCCCCCTTCAAGGTGAAGCCGGGGAGGCAGGAGTAATGAGCTTGGTTCTCCGTCCGTTTCACGTTTCCGTTGATCGGCTGCTCGGGGTCTCCACATGGCACCCGGTCTGTGGGTTCAACGAAGACTCGTTTCTCTTTTGGAATTCTACCTTTCGACAGCGGTATGCACGAGATAAAAAGAAAGTAGGGCGTTAATTTTTTTAAGCGTATACTTGAAAAAAAAAATTGACGCTCTACTGTAGGAAGGATGAAATTTCAATTGAGTGTTTTTTTGCCATTTTAACATTGCAAGTAAATCAGAGTGAGCAAAACTATGGCTCTTCAATAATTATAATAATAGGGATGATAATGACTAGTGAAAAAGGCTTTTACATAGATACTTTAGATAAGTAAGACCTCCTTGGAAAACCCTACTGCTTAAGGCACTACTGTACACATTTACTTGAGATTGCCTATTTCTCATGCCTGGATGAGAAGTGGGCAGAGTACTCATTGAAATATAGACACTAAACATCAGTTATTTTCACCATGGGCCGTTCTCGTATATTGTCAATAGTTCAGATCATGAACCGAAGTGGTGCAGATTTCGCCCATTGTTCATCGATTGGTCCAGAATGCAGCAAAGGTACTATAACGAGACTGCGAGCATGAGTGTCACATTAAAGCACACAAGACTCTCATGCTTCCTTGCGAAGGACTCCCTCTCGTCAGCTCTCACTCCGATCCACATGACCGAGATCTCGTCACGTTCGCGCCCTAGTGGTCGTTCCTCTACTTACCGTACTCCTGTGTGGAGACCTGCAAGGGAGGAGTGGATGCACCTTCGCCCTCCTTGCTTTTCGCAGCGAGCCAAATGAAGTATTGATTGTTCGGATGAAGGCTGAGGAGGTACTCTTCCACGACAGGAATGCTTCTGCGATTCACTTCCTGCACACCACAATGACAAAAATGCTCACTTCTTGTTGTCTTGGCACATATTCTGATACCAAGATGAGGAGCACAAATACTAGTAGGATATTAGAAACGTATGAGTATACAAAAACATAACTGCACAGATTAAAAAAGCACCACACAATTTAGAGTCAAATCCTAAAAATGGCATTTCACTTCATCCCATAAACTTCAAAATCCGTCATCTTAGGGTACAGAATACTATACTGCATGCACAATTTATCAGCAGCAACATATGACAATTACATGGGATCGCAGAAATTTTTCCACTTACAAATTAAATCATTTCAAAGAAACATTCACATTGCATATTCAAAATAATAATAATAAATTTAAAAAGGGACAAGGTGAAATTCTATTTTTCCAAACATCAAGCCCGATCGTGTTCTGAATGCTCTGAATAAAAGTAGTTAATCTGAGTCATAAGATAACACTCTCTAAGCGACGATTTCTGGGCCCAAAACGCCGTAGCAGCCGATGATCTTATCAGACGTAGCAGACAGCGGCGCCAAGACAAAGTACAAGGACCTAGCTTATGCCTATACAAAACGCAGAGGGGTTGCAGAGCACACCGTTCACTTCCTGCCGATTTTAGACAATTGAGACAGTTATGCATCCTGTCGTCCGGAAAGCGTTAACCATAATCGCAAAACCCATGTGCCATCTCACCTTCGAATAGGTGTCGTTCAAGTACAACTCGTAGCCGATGATGAACTTGTTGCCGAAACGGGGCTGATCCCACTTGAGGGTGATGGTCGTCGGCGTCCGATCCACCACTCGCAGGTTGTTCGGCTTGGAAGGAACTGCAACAACCCCAAAAAATCTTCTTTCGCTTCCGTTCCACCGATACCAGGAGGTCCGGCAGCATCTCAATAATCGCACGACTCGGGATGAAGAAGTTGGACCAGAGGGATTCGAGAAGGATCCTGGATCCCCAAAAGCCTGCTACTGTCACTGTTATTTCAGGAGTAATCTACTTGGTGAAGTACATCACTGTTATTGAAAGAGACGGTGTAATCAAGGGATTTATTCATTCCTGAGGGGGTAATTGGGAACGAGGGGGCAACAGATGTCCGCGATGAGACTCTCCCCCCCCCCTCCCCCATTTCATGACATTGATTTCTTCAAAGTCCATCAATGAGGAATAAATTATGGGCCTCATTGACATTTAAAAAAAGAGAAGTGCAGGTTGTTGACTTTCCATCTTATGTCCTTAATAATAAAAAGAAGATACTTCGGTAAACGAGATGGAAAATTTTTTTTTTTTTCAGAGGGAGAGTCGGGTATTAACTCATTGCTTCCTTCGGCTCCTCAAAGAACATCACAGAGGGAAAAAATCACAATTACCGTCATTATACGACCTGGGAATTTTGAAACTCATTTTGAAAAACGGGTCTCTTCCAGACCGATTCGGAAACATCTCCCGAGTCTGAAATGCTCATTCACGCACATCTGCACAAAATATCGGAATCCGGTCGATAGAAAGAAAAAAAAAACCTAGAGAGTACCAGTCCGAGTACAGACCTGGCATTCCACTGGCCCTAAACCACTGGATTTATATTTTATAATTTATAGATTGTTGTACAGGGCAATTGATCGGTGACAGCCAGTGTTCGAAACAGCGGAGATATTGAGCATTTCTTTTCACGCACTATTCCAAGGAGTTTAAACGTCACACTTCTCCGATTTCTAGTTCTCTCTTTTCGGCCCACCCTGTCACATCGTTCGCTTCAGCAACGGTTCCTAGAAATAAAAAGTCACCGCCATTCCCTCCCAGGAAGGCAACAGACCTCGAGAGGCGAAGACCTGGACCTCACAGAGTTCAAGGTACTCCTGCGTCTGCCGGTCATCCCTGATGTAGACGAACTGCCCCGGCGTCCCCAGCCCCCCGTTACATCTGAATATCGTCTTGTCATAGGGGAAGGTCCCCGAGAACCTCACGCACTCCTCATACAGCACCGGCTTCTCCTTCCGCACGTTGATCACGAATACCGTGAACGCTTGGTACGTCCCTGCGTCGGAAAACGAGAAACGTGTCATCCCACGTGTCCACACCTCGAGGCATCGTGAATATTCCGTAGGTGTTGCAATGATCGAAACTCGTGACCCTCCACGCCCCTCCTTTCATCACTCCCTCTCAAATATTTTTATTGCACGCCCTCCCCCAAGCAAACGATTTAAAAAATGATGTAACGGGAGACCAGAGCCATGAAAGAACCCGGGGACTCGTGCCCAAAGATGAAACACACGAAGTCAATCACGACCCTCATTTACCCCAGCCCTCTCTTCACCACCCCAGCAGTCATTCTTAAAAGGTTACACGTTGAACAAAAACCACAAAAAAGTGCGTGAAACGTCCCCCTATCAGCGGCCTACCACAACAAGGGACTTCTTCCTCATCTACTGCCGGCAAAGTCCAAAAAAAATGTTTACCCACCAGGAGCAGCGTAGGAATAGAACGAGGGAAGGGAATCCGTCCCTATGACTCGAACTGGAATCAAGGTCATACGACTTTCTCTTCGATGGCAAAGAGGTTAATGTCACCTGGCATCAGAGCATACACCCAAGCAGAAATGAAAATAAGTGGATCAGCGGGAAGACGAGTCCGACCGACAGATTTCCATAATTTCTGGTCTCTCCGTGAACCCCCGGACCCATAGGGCACCTTCCTAGGTTCACGCTCCTTAGGAGTCCTGGATGCTTCACGTACGGTCCCAATTTTTCCAGGAAAACGAGGCTCGCCGTCACTCAACGCATATTTACTTGCTTGGCTATGCGGATGGGAACCGGGATGGTATTCAATTCTTATTACGCAAGGGAGGGACACATCCCCATCCTGCCGCAAAATTTCTCAACGCGAAATTGAGAAACGACCGGTCGTGACTGGCGGATGAAAAGCCTTTTTACGGCCTAATCAGATGTGAAAATTTTGGTCCTAGACCGACGAGCAAGGCGGACGGAAGACTCCCTAGAGTCTCATGAACATGACAGACGGACTCGAGATTCTAACGATAGGACAGAGGACAGTAGATGCACCGGCATGAAAGGTTGAGAGGAAAAAAAACACTAAGAGGATGGGCCCTAGCGAGTCTAACGAGAGAGCTCACGCACTGGCACCCAGAACCGCTCTACAATCCGCCGTTTGTCTGTCTCAACTTCCACACGATCCCGCCATTGTGGATTCCGTTCGATTTCGCTCGAGGTTGAGATTTCGCGACCTCTCACGGCCGTCATCCACGGGGAGCATCAACCAACTGCATCACCATGGATGACGCGCAGCGATAATCCGAGATAAGGACGCAAGAGTATATACCTTGCTTGATACGGATGCCGACGGAGGCAATATTGTGCCTTCGTCCCAGTTTCACCAGCCACCACCTACATGAGAATCCGAAGCAAATCAACAACACGTGATCGAAATCGAAATAAAAGTAATGAAATGTGCCTGACCTCGAGGAATCCGTTTCCCTCAGTTTGTACGAGCACGTTTCCGGGTCTCCGTCCACGGCCAGATCCGATCGATAATTCCATAACATCAGATTCTGTTGGATCGCCTTCCCACGGGCCAAGTTGAACTCTAAGACCCAAAATACGATTTTTTTTTTCATTCTCGGCCGAGGAGGAATCGAGCGCTGAAAAGCGTTGAACGAAGGCGATTACAACGATCATAGACGCTCAAGGTCGTTTCGAGGACGCACTGGATTATGAATCATCTCCATGCCGACGTCTGTATTTTTTATGCTCTTCTTCCCGAAGGTTTTAAAACGGCGTCACTTATACAGGGTTTTCGTATTTACACGCAACATAGGAAATTTTTGCCGCCTATTTGTGGAGTTCTGCTTGTGCCATAGAGCTCACCGGGTTGCATAGAGACAAGGATGCGCATAATCTCGCACCATATAGGGTAGTGTGGGGTTAATTGGTCATGATTTTTTGTTTTTCTTACTCCATAACCAATTATAATTATAAGAAATAATAACAGAAACAACTTTGGAACCTCAAACGATCATGTCATTCAACTACTTATTCGGCCCAAAACGAAATCTGGTATATTAAAATATTAGCTTAGAGAATTAAGAAATTAACATTTGGTTGGCGTGACCGATTAGCCCAGGGGGTGGGGCTATTCGGTCACATGTATTCCGTGTCAGTGTTTCCTTTACTGCTCTATTCCAGGGGATAACAGATAAAAGAAAAAGTACTTCCCAAATTGCAGGTAGGCCTATCAGAACCAAAAAGCTCCACACCACACTATAATTTTTCAATTTGGATTTAATTTGAATGAAACAAAGCGAAACCAAGATTATAGACACAGAGGAAATTAATCCGGTGGTTCCATTTCAAATCAGCCATGGCCTGTCAGGTCATAATCTTCGATTTTTTCGATTCCACCTAGCACACGTGGTGTCCAAGTTCAAAGCGACAGGTTCGGCTGCCAACATTCGCACGAAATTGTACCGTACGTTGGCGACCCAACCGGATACCCGCTGTTGTTGAGTAGGTTTTAATGGGCCGTTCGTCGTGTGCATATTTGGCTCAGTGTACTGGATTCATATAAGTCCTGGAAAGGAGACCTAAGTTAACCTGTTAACCTAAGGGGGGACCTATTACAAACCCAGTATATCATTCTGCAACAATTTTAGTCTACTGCCCCACTGCGCCCATCAGGGGGACTTATACAAGACAGAAGGGTAGGGGGCCTTGTTAATCCAGAGGTTTGACAGGGATGGATAACTTGCTTTTGAAACTTATTGCCACTAGGTCTTTAATGTGAACAGAAGACCTGGATTTTCCTGGAAAGTTTTTAGGATAAAGGCTGCTAGTACTTCATCCGAAGCTTGGAGGCCTTTGTATTTTATGTCTCCAACTAGTAGCGATAAACTTAAAGGGAAATTGATCCCAGCTGTTTAATTTCATCATTTTTCTCTCCTCCTCATAACTTATGCAATCTAACAGTATGTGGTGAATATTCTCAGGAATCTGGCACCTAGCACAGAGTGGGGAGGGCGCATAATTTATCCGAAAAAGACCTTTTGCACGGCCATATCCAATTCTAAGGCTACATAGTACCACTTCAAAACGCCTATTATCAGAATTACTAATGTCCCGTTGTCCTGGGGTTGGCTTTAGCTGATATAGATGTCGACCTGTAGCGGAGGTGTCCCATAGTAATTTCCAGTTCCTGGTAAGATTTTTTTTAACTGCAGAAAAATTTATTGAGAGCATACACGTGGCTCAATTGGGTCTGGTAAATCAATATCTATCTTTGACAGTTGATCTGCTTTCTCATTGCCATGAATGGCGCCTTGTGTCCAGGAATCCATTGGAAATGTATAACACAAGGTAATTTATTAATGCAGAAATGAAGTTGGGCTAGAAGAAATACATATGAACCAGTCACAGAGCGTGATGCTATGCTGGTGCTACTTTTAATATATATAGACGATCGTGAGTAGCTGGCTGACTAACATGAGTAGCTATTCACATGCTGAGTTCAGGAAAAATTATACTTGGGTGATACATGCCATAGGGGCATACCTTTTCGGGGAGCATATTTTCAAATAGTTCTCTTCGCTTCAATCAAACGGAGACACATGAAAGCTGAAACTTGACAAGAACGTGACTGCTGGAGCACTGTTTTCAGGAAAAAAAATGTCAAATTTCCAAAATTGGGCACTTCCTTTTTAAGTCCTATTTTCCTGAATTTTTTTTCATCCAACGAAACAAAGACAGAAAACTTAAAACTCCCTCAGAAGTACCTATTCGATGGCTGAGTACAGGAAAAATCCAATTTTCGAAATATGTCCCCTTAGCATAGATTAAAGGAGGGAAGTATTTCAAAATGTATTCTCCACTCTATGAAAAGGGACACAAAAGAGATTTCAAGTTAGGCACACTAGAAATCACACAAGTAATGATTTTGTTAAAAATTAAGACTTTCGTCCCCAAATGTCACGTATTTCAATGGGGACGTACTTTAAATATGTGTTTGTCATTTCGCAAAGAATAAATGAATTAATCACTATCCAAGGTAATGGGCGCCGAAGGCGTGACCATAGTATATAATATGCTTGGGCCTCTGTGTGTATGTCCGCAAGTGCAAGTGCGCATGTGCGACCTCCGTCCCTCCGGGTGTACGTCTCCCTCTCTCCCTCTCGCACTTTTTTTTTCCGGCCGTTGCGACGGTCGAATCTATTTTCGATAACGTAACAGCCCCGAGGGGGCCTGTGGGGGGGGGGGGGAAGAGTTCTGGGGGAATAAGGGGAAATCTATTTTCGATAACGTAACAGCCCCGAGGGGGCCTGTGGGGGGGGGGGGAAGAGTTCTGGTGGAATAAGAGGACGAAAAAGAGGTGGAACGATCGGGAATCGAAACAAGGACCCACGGCTTGCGGGTCAAATATGCTTCCATTGCACGACCGAACCCAGCCGGTGGAAAAACCTCTCTCCATGCCATCCCTAACACTGCCATGAAAGAGAAAGGCATTCTACGCATGCCTCCGCCCCTTTCCCCCTCCAAGTGTTCATACCTCCAATACGGAATTTCTCGCAGAGACGTGTGAAATTCCCCACGTTTCACACTTTGAGACCCCTTTCATACGTTGAGGAAAGACTACTTCCTCGCCGGCGATGAGATCTCCGCCCATATTCGAGTATTTCTCGAGATCCGGAAAAGTCCTATCTTAGGCGCGAACACCCCCGTGCGTAGGGGGGGGGGGGGGGGGGGGGGGGGGGGGGGGGGCGCAACTGATGATTTAAAACATGGTGAACATTGCATCAACATATGTTGGGCAAGACATTTAGCGAGACATTCAGACAAATACGGTTTCCAGATCCTGATTTAAGAGGGGGGATGGGGTGGGGGTGCGCAAGACGTTCAATGTCCAAGCAGTTGCTACGCAGAGCGTTGGGAGTGCCGTTGTCTAAACTCTTGAATGCCCGACGCTGTTACATGCTTAGCCCAGGCCCCTACGTGAAAATTTGCGCATGGGTTAACCTCACATCCGTGGATAATGTCTATCGAGGCATCTACTGTATAGTATATCTAATATATATAGACGATCGTGACTGACTAACGCTGCGCATAGCGTTAAGGGAGCCGCTGATTGGACTCGTGAATATCGGAAGATACGACGCGCTTAGCCTCACTCTCGAGAACGGGATGGAGATGGTGCTGCTTCATATCGTTGAGAGGGTCGTTGAGTTTTAGGGCTGCTGACTGAGCTGAGGAATTCCCGAGGAATAGTTCGCGGAAGACTCCTCGCTGGTTGGAGTGCCCGGCTCAGGGTATCGAGTTCGCATCTTCTCTCCAGTCTTTGCGACTGTCGGATCCCTTCTTGAGAATGGGAGAGAGGAATCATTGTAAGCCTTGCGCAACGCATTATACGCCTTGGGGGGGGGGGGGGGACTAAGTAATGTTCCCATCTCGATATGAATTATCACGCTGGAAAACCCACGTACAACACCTGGAGTCCCGTGTTCCTCTGCGCGAAGGGGAGTAACTCCCGAGTGTGAAAACAGCGGGCTCCCATCTGGGTGGCATAGGAGAGAAAAGTTTATCCTTGGATTGCAAAGATGGCACCGGTCGCGTCGTAACCATCCCGTTTCCATATTCGTATATTTCATTCATAGGCTTGCATGAAAAGTGATAGAGATGGACTCTACGGACGAAGCGGACACTGTTGTGATCGATAGGAAAAAGGGCCGATCAATGAAGGGGTCGGAATTCCGATAATTGTAATGACGAAGATCTCACACCGGCGAGGAAATCATCCAACTTTCAGCGGGATGAAAGGGGACTCCAAGGGTTGTACGTGGGGACGTGTAAAAATTGCGAAACAGGGACTACTGCCTATAGCGATGAGAGGGTCACTGAGTTTTAGGGCCAAGAATTAATCGGGGAGTTCTTGTCTAAGATTTCGTGGAAGTTTTCCACTGGTCGACTAGTTGGAAAATAATATAGGATAGCAGGAAATTATTTGGGGAAAAAAAAGTATTCGACGCGATTACATACAATAACACTTTTCCGCTTTCCGAAACCGTTCCTCATGCTCCATGACCTATGGACGCCTTTTGAACAAAACGAAATGATTCAACGGCTAATTCGGAAGAGAGCGAAAGGTGAATCGCATTAGAAATTCCATATCACCTGCACTCTTGTGGTCCTTGTGCGTGCGGCGCACCTCCGTCTCCAAACTCCCTCCTCGGTCCTCCAGCGTCTCGCTCATGCAGTCCACCACGACCGACTCCCACTCCCCCGAGTCGATACATCGGGACTTCACCTCCCTTCCGCCTTCAACGATCACGTGTCGGTCAGTAGAGTACTCGAAAAATGAATTCACTTGGACGAAGAGGCCGAAGTGAGAAACGCACCATCCGGTAGGATGAATCCAGGATCACATCGATAAACAGCAACGGCCTTCCATTCGGCGGATCCGTCGGAAAGGATCAATCTCGCATTCGCGAATGACGGTGGAGCTGGACACTGCACCTCTGCAATAATCAACAACGCATGATATATAGTATTTAAAAAAGTACCATACACTTAATATGAGACATTACTTATATCAAACTTAAATATTGGGAAGCGAATGAAATACATACTCTTGCACTGCGGCACAGACCCGGACCATACCCCAAGAGGACCGCAGGTCATCGTGGCATTTCCGAAGAGAAGAAACCCAGGGTTACACTCGTAGATGGACCGAAGCCCGAACACGTATCTGCCTTTGAAGACGGGGTCGCGCAAGAACCCATTCTCGATCTGCACCGGCGCCTCGCACTCTTGCTCTGAAATGTAGAAACCGTATCAAATAATATTCCAGTCCGATAAAATTCAATCTCTATGCGTCATTCGGTCTGAACGACATGAATCTGTACATTTCTCGCATTTTCCGCTCCACGTCTTCCCTTCCGTTTTCTCCATGAATTCAATTACGTTCCACATGCCCATCGACCTATAGACGCTTTGTCAAGCGAACGGAATGCTTCAACGGTTAATTCGCAGTTCATCTGCGAATTAACCGTTAGTTATTTCGCAGATAAACTTTTACCTAAACTTTTAAACTTTAACTCCTTGGATTGCAAAGATGGCGCCGGTCGCGTCGTAACCATCCCGTTTCCATATTCGTATATTTCATTCATAGGCTTGCATGAAAAGTGATAGAGATGGACTCTACGGACGAAGCGGACACTGTTGTGATCGATAGGAAAAAGGGCCGATCAATGAAGGGGTCGGAATTCCGATAATTGTAATGACGAAGATCTCACACCGGCGAGGAAATCATCCAACTTTCAGCGGGATGAAAGGGGACTCCAAGGGTTGTACGTGGGGACGTGTAAAAATTGCGAAAGAGGGACTGCTGCCTATAGCGATGAGATGGCCACTGAGTTTTAGGGCCGTGAATGAAGCCGGGAGTTCTTGCCTAAGATTTCGTGGAAATTCTCCACGGGTCGGCCAGTTGGAAAATAATATAGGATAGCTGGAAATCATTTGGGAAAAAAAAAACAAAGGCTTTGAAGCGATTACATACAGTAAAACTTTCCCTTTCCAAAACGGACCCCTCATGCTCAATGACCTATGGACGTCTTGTGAACCAAACGAAATGCTTCAAAGGCTAATTCCCAAGAGAGGGAAAGGTGAATCGCATTAGAGATTCCATAGACGGATACCTTTCTTCTTTCCCCCCCCCACCCCAAACACGCCCCACCAACCCCCCTTCAATAAGCGATTTGACAGACCGACACACGTCGGAGGCGAGGATGACCATTGCCCGTCAGCCAGGCAGTTCCGCACCGTCTCCCCCTTCAAGGTGAAGCCGGGGAGGCAGGAGTAATGAGCTTGGTTCTCCGTCCAGTTCACATTGCTGTATATCGGCTGCTCGGGGTCTCCACATGACATCCATTCTGTGGGTACATCAAAAACTCATTTCTTCCTTGGAGTTCTACTACATTAGATTTAAAAAAAGTAGGGAATTAACTTTTTTTTAGGTGGAAGTGCAGGAATGTCAAAATTTCGATCGAACGTAACATTAATATTTTTTTGCATTTTAACATTCTAAGTAACTGCAGGGTGGGCAAAACTATGGCTCTTCCATAATTTATTCAGGACATACGAGATCATGAATCCATTGAAGAGCAATGCATTTGAATACTCCGACTCTTTGGTAAAGACAGGGATAAAAATCCTCCAACATCACCTCCATGATCACATATCAGGCTCTATCATGTCAGATATGTCCAGAGGCAATACGACAACATATGTGTGAGAGTTACGGTATGTGGCACCATCTTGTGGGAAGACTAATAAACCTAGGAGAGAGACCATAGGCATATATACACACTCGCCTTTGCGCAATTTGGAGAGCACTTCAGGTAAGGTTTTTCGAATGTCCTTCCGAAATCGGAGGTATCACAAACGAAGAAACTGAAAATAAAAGGCTATCTCCCAGATATTTTTTGACTGGGAAAATGATCGGTGACAGCCAGTGTTCGAAACAGCGGAGATATTGAGCATTTCTTTTCACGCACTATTCCAAGGTGTTGAAACATCGCACTTCTCTGGTTTTTAGTTGTCTCTTTTCGGCCCACCTCGTCACATCATTCTCTTCAGCAACGGTACAGAGAAATACAAAGTAACCGCCATTCCTTCCCCTGAAGGCAACAGACCTTGATAGGCGAAGACCTGGACCTCGCAGAGCCCCAGGTGCTCCTGCGTCTGCCGGTCGTCCCTGATGTAGACGATTTGCCCCGGCGTCCCCAGCCCCCCGTTGCATCTGAACATCGTATTGTCATAGGGGAAGATGCCCGAGAACCTCACGCACTCCTCGTACAGCACCGGCTTCTCCTCCCGAACGTCGACCACGAACACCGTGAACGCTTGGTACGTCCCTGCGTCGGAAAACGAGAAACGTGTCATCCCACGTGTCCACAACTCCAGGCGTCGTGAATATTCCATAGAAGGTGTTGCAACGACGGAAATTCGTGACCCCCCACGCCCTTCCCTTCTCCACTCCCCTCATCAAATATTTTTTATTGCACGCTCTCCTCCAGAGCAAATTATTTACAAAATAATGGAACGGGAGACCAGAGTCGTGAAAGAACCCGGGGGCTCGTGCCCCAAGATCAGACACGCGAAGTTAATCACGACCCTCATTTCCCCCACCTCTCTCCTACCGTGACAGACGCGCTCGAGACAAAAGATGGGACAGAGGGATGCGGGGTAGATGCACCGGCATGAAAGGATATGAGAAAAAAAAAATCCACTAAGATGAGGATGGCCCTAGCAGCGCACTACGAGTCTAGCGAAAGAGGAGAGCCCACGCGCCGGCGCCCGAACAGAACCGCTCTACAATCCGCCGTTTGTATGTCTCAACTTCCACATGATCCCACCATTCTTGATTCAGTTCCATTTCGCTCTAGTTTGAGATTTCGCGACCTCTCATGGCAGTCTTCCATGGCGAGCGTCACACGACTGCATCGCCATGAACGACGCTCAGTGATAATCCGAAAATTGATGCGATAAGGACGCAAGAGTATATACCTCGCTCGATATGGATGCCGACGGAGGCAATATTGTACCTTCGTCCCATGTTCACCTCCCACCACCTGCATACGAATCCGCAGCAAATCAAAAGCACGTGATCGAAATCGAAGTAAAAGTGATGAAATGTGCCTGACCTCAACGAATTCGTGTTCCTTGGCATGTAGGAGCATGTTTCCGGGTCTCCGTCCACGGCCCGATCCGATCGATAATTCGAAAACGTCAGACTCTGCTGGCTCACCTTCCCACGGGCCAAGTTGAAATCTGCGACCCCAAATTTTTTTTTTCATTCTCGGCCGAGGAAGAGTCGAGTCATGAAAAGCGTTGAACGAGGGCGATGACAACGATCGTAGGTGCTCAAGGTCGTTTCGAGCATGGTCTGGTTCGGGAATCATCTCCATGACTACGTTTTTTTATTTTTCAATATTCTTTTTCTCAGAGGTTTTCAAGCGGCGTGTCATATTCGAGGTGCAGTCATAAAGTAATGCCTGTTGTTCGTTTGCCAAGGAAATCATGCGAACTTTGGCCAGGTGGGGGCCATGCAGTGTAGGTGGAGGCGTGGCCTAATTGACTCAGTAGTGGTTGCCAGTTACACCTTCTTGCCAGTTCTTAAGCAGGGCCGGAAAAGAATCCTGTTTTTGGTACTTGTTAAAATCGTTGAAAATGAGTGATTTCACGAAAAGAACAGCAGCGCGCGGTGATCAATTTTCTTGCCGCGAGAGGAGAAAAATCATGTCGAAGTTAAAATATGACAAGAAACAAGCTCGTATCGACACATGCGTAAATCTTGTGACGCGATATCCTCACTTATTCTCCTATATATCCTCCTATATATCCGTATCCTCCGCGGATCCCCACTTTTTGGGACGAGTCATCACCGAAGATGTAACCTGGATTCCGCTGTTCAACCCGGAAACCAAACTACAGTCCAAACAACGGAAACGTGAGGATTCACCTCCACCCATGTGTCGATGCGTCAGAAGAAAATGTCCTATATGCATGCTTTTTGGGATAAGTAAGGTCCCATACAGTCATATTCTGTTCCGAAGGGTACCACGATAAATGGAGAGGTGTTTCGTAATATTTTGAGGATTGACATGTTGCCGGCGGTCGCAGGAAAAAAAACCGAATCTGGTGGGAAAATTCATCCTGCACCACGATAGCGCTCCAGCTCACCGAGCACGCATTGAACTGATTTTTTTTGTCAGCAAAAATTCAATGGAAATCGTTATGCCATCCTCCCTAATCCCCAGACATGGCCCCAATGCGAATTTTGGCTATTTTGGAACTTGCGGGGGAATTCTTTCTCTTCCAGATCGGCACTCGTTTCAGCAGTTTCCCAGTGGTTTCGAAATACCCCCAAAGAACAGTTCGCCCAGTGTTTCCAAAAGTGGGTAGAGCGATGGCAGGTGTGTTTAGACAAAAGGTGAGATTATGTTTAAAAGTAGGATAAGTTTGAAGAGTATATTTGGATAAATAATTTGTTTATAACAAAACAGGCATTACTTTATGACTGCACCTCGGATAAATCCAGAATATCCACAAAATCGGCACACAAAAGGCCGGGCGAGAGCAAAAGGCACGGCAGCGAAATGCAGGGTCGTGCCATTCACCCACGCACCGAGGCTCTTCAAGGAAGCGCAAAGATACCACCACATCGAGAAAGAAAACGAGGCTTATCCTTTTCTTTCGGGGGTCACAAAGGAACCTTTTGTTCTCCTGCCTTCGTGACTCCTCACTTCAAATGGTAGGTTGTAACGAAAGTTTTTGTGCATACAAACAATGCAACAGTCGCGAAACACGATTTCTTCGTCACACATTTTGAACTCTGTAATGTTTTTTCATTATTATCATGAATTTAGCGATTTGTAAAAGGAAGCAACATATTTTTTTTACGCAGCATGAAATGCACTTTCGTTCAGAATGTGTGACGAAAAATTCGTGCTTCGCGACTGTTGTTTTGCTTGTATGCATAAAAAATTTAGTTACAACCTAGTATTTACCAACAAATCGCCCCCAAATTTACGAAATTACGGGAAAAGCCACCGACCGCACGTGGGCAGCGTCCCACTCCACGTCCCATTCTCCAAGCACATCCGCTGACTCCACCCGAAGAGGACGAACCCATCCGCGCATTGGTACGTGGCCAAGTCCCGGTAGAAGTAGATGGTGGCGTTATTGATGATCCAGCCGTTGGCAGGCTGGCCGGGAAATCCGCACTGGAGACCACTGGCACCTGGGAAACATACAATTTACGTGAAGAGATCTGGTGATACGGATAAGCTTCTTTGGAATTCGGACGTATAGATGAAGCGAGCGAGATAAGCATCCTGTCGTTATGGGCAGAAAAATGAGAAAAAATGAATCCCCCATGAGCCCACTAAGGGGAAAATGGGCAATCCTTGCCTTCTTTGTCATGAATGTCTTTTCTGCAAAAGAGAAGGCTCCATCCAACAAGGAAGAGGAATAGAACGTGGAAGACGCGTTGCTCGTCATAGGAAAAACGCGTGACACGATTCCTCTTCCTTGTTGACCCTCAATTTTCCTTTCTTGAGGTCTGTTCCCAGTCAGGTTATTATACGTAGTATTATGTCGTGAGCGAGAGAAAGCTCGATCGAGCAGATAATCAACGGTTAATATAGGTGTTGACTGAATAGCACGCAAAGAAAAGCGAACAAAAATAGCGCTGTGCTGTAGAGTAGGCCAATGACGTAGCCAGGGAAGGAGGGCTATCCTGCCTTCCCTTCACCGTAGCTTATATGCGGTTTTTAAGGCCCTCATAGAACTTCATTGGCACACCAAAAAATTAGTTTCTCGCTACAGTACTGAGTTAAGGCCGGGATGCCAATAAAATGTGTGACCGAAACCCGGATTTTTTAGCGTGCGTCTTGAACGAAGTGGAGTGCTCTTACTGTCAAGCGATAAGTCGAAGCTGAGATAGTTGTTCATTTAGTTAAATGTCGCCGGGACAGCAGTCTTGGCAATCGTCACTCTGCCACTTGAATGTGTTTCCCTCTCACATGGCAATACGTGCATGGCACTAGCATTCACGTTCCCCCTCCTTCAGTATGAACGTGCTTCTGAGGAATGGATCTACTTCCCCCCTCCCCCACCTGGTCCCCGGCCCAGGAGAAACTAACTAATTGCACTATTTGAGTCTCGTCCCCTTTTCTTTTTGCTTCATCTGCATCTTCAAATTTCGTAAATGGAAATATATTTTGAAACTTCAAATCAATGAAGTTTTCTTAGCTGATCAATGGGCTTTGGTATCGCCCATTACCTTTCTTCAACCCCTTCCGGCGACAAAATTCAACCGTCTCGAATTCCTCTCTGAGACAGCATCAACCGGAACGAAATTTGGCATACTTCTTCCTCTCTCAACACAGACTCGCTCCAGCAAATTTGAAGCTCCATCTCAGAACACTGAATCTCGTTTTCTGAGGATGTGAATTTCATTCCGTTTTCTTTTTCTCCCCCCCCCCCCCACTGGGGGCTATTGACCTGGAGGTGATGGCAAAAACTCTCCTTTTTTGGTTTAAGCGCACCATTTCGCCATGAAAAATGAAATTAGATGCAGTTAATTTAGGCTTAGCGCGATGGTCCAGTCCCATCCTCTAGTGTTGCCCGATATCGTGCCTTAGTTATCCCAGATTCATTACTTCATCGGCTTCAGCATCGTAGTTTGGATCGTCTCTTTTTAATGCAGGAGACATTAATGTGCTCAATTCATGGGATGAGCTGAGATGGAAGCGGTGTCTTGCAGTGGCCGATCGATTTTGTGAAATGCGGAGATATCTCATTCGGACACCCCTAAATTAACATGATGGCAAACAGCTTCCATGTCATACTTCCTAAAGGCACCTTCTTCTCAGAACGAGTCGAGACGATTCCAGGAACCCTGGAGAGGCCTAATGTTCCCCAACCGCACCGAAATGGTTCATGAAACTCGTTAAGGACCTAAATTTGGCCTAACGTTACACGTCCTCGACGAGGTGTCTCGAAGACCAGGGATTAATCCTAATAGGACTAATTGGTTCGTAGGTCAAGGACTGAGAATCTTTTGAGCGAAAAAAGGTAGGCCTAGGCCTCACCCGAAGACAGTCCTTAGTTTAGGCCAAGGCCAAACGTTATTGAGTTCCGTTGAGAAGGGGGGAAGGAGGTTGAGGTTGACGTATGGTAAAACCATTGAAAATTGGTTTTCACATTACTACATTATACTTTGACCAGCGCATGATTTTGTAAAGAGTTCGACATTAGGAACGAAATGTTGTGTCACTCCATCTTTGGACATCCATTGGACGTTCAGCAAAGGAACTTCCAAAGACATCCTTTCACAGTCTAATCATGGATGTCCTTGGACAGAGTCCCAGCCCCGTTGAGGCCCTCCATCTGGCCTGGCATCTAGCAGCTCCCGCAATATTAGCGAGGGGGCGATGATCCCACTACCGTATGTCTCCTGATTTCATTAATGCTAATGAATTGCTCTGCGGAGGCTCTCCTTCTCTACTCGATAATTTCCCATTTACAAGAAGAAGGAAAGAAGTAATTCTAATTTGTTCATTTGTTGAAAAAAAAGTAACGAAGCTCAAGAAGACTACTTGCAATTCTTGCACATTGCACGGTGAGAGAGTGGTTCCCCTTGCCAAGAAAGTCTATTCCTTTCTTATTCGGGTCATGCCACCCTTGGCGATGGAAAAAGGTCTCTCGATTTGAGAGATAAGGATGGGTAGTTGAGAGTTACATCTCAGTAATACCTTACTTTCCACCCTGACGAATCACTTCTAGTTCCTTTCATGAATGAGTGGGTGAGGTCGTAAAATTGCAAAAAGTACTCCACTCCCATGCTTTGAATGTCTGTTAACGTGCAAATTATGCTCCATAGGTACCTGGGGATTACTATCGTTGTACCTCTCAATGGTCATCCAAAAGCTTTCCCAAAGGGAACCTCCAATTGAACCAAAGAGGCGGACATCCATTAGTCCATCCAATGGGCATGTCCAAGGATTTTCCTTGGACGGGAATGTTAGTCATCCAGGGGATGTCCGAGGAGGATATACATTGGATGCCCAAGTGTCCATGAGGGTATGTGCGATGGATTTATTTTGGATCAAAATGGCTACGCGGGTATGTTTGCTATTGCGATGACATTCTGTATACGTCCAGAGGGACGACCTCCTCTGGACAACTAGACCCGTTTTGGATCACCGATGGCTACTTGGGAAACTTTAATCAGGCAAGTTCAATGCAGGAAAATGCATGTGGGAAGACTTCGCGCCTTTTCGCATCACGTGTGCAAATGTTCCAACTGTGTCATTTAATGTTTCCATTCCCATTCCATTCTGAAATTACATCTTCAAGCGATAGCTTTTTCTTCAAGCTCCCTGCAATTGCTTCTTCGAGCTCCCATTGTAAATTCAGGCGCAGATTGAGAGAAGAGCTCTTTTCATTTTGTGAAATTGGAACTCTATGAGGACCGCTTGACATTTGTTAAGTAATTTTTTGCAGCACCTTTCCCTGAAAGGCAAGATAGTTGATAGCATTAACTATGATAATTTACTGAATTTTATATGAAAATTGAGCAAATTTTATTTCCTGTTTCATCGGATATACGGATGCAATATCAGCAATTTAAAGAAGTATCGTATGAAATTTACCAAATTTCCATTGGAAATCTCACTTTCAGGGTTTCCATATGAATTTATTTTCCTTTGGAAGATAACAAATATCCGAGGAAGGAAACATTCGCGGTGAGGGCGAGAGTTTCTTTGCAATACTCTGAGAGATGCATTTGAAAGTTTTCTTTCAACGAATTTATTTATCAGTATTCTTTGATCGCCAAAGCGAGAAACCCCCTGTTATGGACGAGATAGAATATTAATGGTATGGAAGAAAATTAACTAAAATATACACCCTTTCCGGTTGAAAGAAGCTTGGAAATCTGATTAACAATGTAAAGCAGCCACTGTTGCGAGACACTTCGGATTGGATTCCCCGTTTGGAATGAACAGGCATATAGTTTTTTAATTTAGCTCGAATGGAACCAACTAAGATATTCCAGGAACTCGACTGAAGAATCAAAATCTCACGTGTACGTACCCATCACAAGCAGCAACACATGTAGAATTTCAACCATCATAAACTGAATGGATTCATGCATTTTTGTACCACGTATAACATGCCGAACCACGGTGGTATCACTATACAGCACTGTGTCTCTTAGGAGTCGCAAGACATGCGTGCGTATCAGAGGAAAGATTGGGCGAGAATCCGGCATCCTTCAGCACTCTTCTCCCCGTCGATGAGCATATCCATCCGGTTCGGATGACGTTTTACTTATCGCGCCTTTCTTCCTGTCTTACAATTCTTTCCTTGGGGGGGGGGGGGGGTCGGGCACTCCCGTCATCCTTTTCCTCTGAGGCTTCTCTTCATGTTGCCAATGACAGTGGATTTGATCTGCGTTCGGTGCTGATGAGGAAGGCCCACTCGAGTACGGACAGAGGTTGCTCGGTTCGATGGTCTTCCTCTCTGGGGAAGCGAAAATGAGGCAACAGCAGAGAAATTCCACATCTTTCGTCATAAAAATGAACAGAGTCGTGAATGAGTCATTCATATTACCGTGTCATTTGCACCAACAAGAAGAATCTGCTGACCATTATTCAAGGTCAAAAATTTATCTACAGTGCAAAGTTTATTTGGAGGACAGAGATTTCATCCGCTGCAACACTAAAAAAAACTCCAACCAGACGTCCTTCCCTTCTCCGAACGCTTTCCCACGGAAACTCCACTTCATTTTTTTTCTTCTTCTTCCTGAAATATTGCCGCTAAGGGACTGGTTTTCGAAATCCAATCTCTAATTGAACCAAAATATTAATAATTTGTCTCAAATAGCTTATTTCATCAATTCCTTGATCCCTTACTTTGAAAACCATCCCAAGCAACACAGAACGTTGCATTCTGGTCGCATCGTCGCGGAAGTTGCATCGACGTCGCACCAACGTCATTTGACGTCCGTGATTTCTTGAGTCCTAAAGTGCATTTTGGAAAAAGAAAGGCTATTGGCTGGTGATCCTTCTCATGGATATTGCCAATCGCGCCAGATAACATTTTTTGATGCTCCAACGTTGGTTAAAGGTGGGAAAGGTCGTGGGAACGTATACGCTGAGAAACGATGTAATTAGCCCAATGTGGGTCCGCCAGTTCTCCGCCAGATCAGTAGATGGCAGTATAGGTCTCGAGGTTTGCATAGTAAGCAAAACTTAATTTCCTCTTTTCCTGGAATTGTCTCTCGCAGGATTTTTTTAGTACCTCGTCAAATACGAGGTCTGGCAATAAAGATCCTGGACTGATTTTTTTGTGAGTCTGTCAATATCACAAATATTATTTTTATATCACGGACTGATAGATTAAACTGTTGGGAAGTGTTGTGTCAGCCCTCATCTGACTAGCATCTTGAATGAGAGTTTGCCTGGCAATGTAGCAGCTGAGTGTGTAAGGCG